AAATGGCATCATCTCTTTGGTTTTGGCTGAAAGTTGAGTGCAACACCATCAGTGGTTAGCTGCTGTAAGATACAAACTACTTGCAGTTTTTACCTTTGCACACCGTGCTGATTTTTGCCATTGTACACAAGTACTTTATGTGTTCTGTGATTTGGTAACTATTGCTTTTGCTACCGGACACCTGAATTTCCCTCAGGATCAAAAATGTACCTGCCTGCCTACCTACCTACCTAACCACCCACCCACCTAACCAAACCCAGTTACAAAGTTGGACATGATCAGTTAATCTAACAGCATTTAGGAGTGTTTTAAAAAATATATATGATGATATCAACTGCATCAATTAAAGATAACTATACAGACAAATGTAAGTGAAAAAAACAATCTTTTCCTCCTTTGTAACAATAAACCGTTTTCAGAGAGAAACAAAAAACTGCATTGTTGTTTTTATACCAGTTTTTTGACCAAATCCTTATGTTCTTTTTTTAGTCCATCATTTCTGCTTGCTTAAGTTCTTCTGTACTTCCTACATCTCATGTCAGGGCTTCTGACATCTGCCTGTCCTCTTTTTTTAATTTTTTAAAATATTAACCACAATTCCTGTCTCCTCCTTTTTTGTAGCTTTTCTTAGTTTGTGCATGCTCCAGGCACGAGATGACTAGAGAGCACACAATAAGCATTAATAGATACTGTATTAAATACCAGAGAATATTAATAAAAAAGGTAATTATTAGACACTCTCCAGAGGCACTTATTATTCAGCAGTGTTATTAATAGATATTGCCTTAGGTGGTGATACATATGTTGTAATTATGCTGCACAGTGGATGCATGCAGGGTGTGCAGTTTTGGCATCATCAACATTTAATTTTCTAAAGTGACTTTATTTGTATCCTACATTTCTAAGAGGAAGCTCACACCACCTGCCAATAAATATGCACAGGCATAATGACAAAAAAAAACAAACAACTGTACAGCATTTTGCATAAGTAAAGTCAAATTTTATTTATATAGCCCAATATCACACACAGATCACTAATTTGCCTCAAGGGGCTTTACAATCTGTTCAGTGTACAACACCCTCAAATTGGATTAAAAAACAAACAAACAAAAAACAGACAGATGCACAGACGTGCAAATTATCTTGTGTTTACAGAATATACCAACATAATATATTTCTAGTATGGAATTGTACCGTATATTATAAACATATGTGATTATGATTCAGGAGGACAAGCAACTTCCAGGAGCCTCTAACAGACCTGAGCCACATGACTTCCCTCCAGACAAAGACCTGGTGGTACGACAGACTATGCAAATATATGAAAGGCAAAACACAAGTACATCATTCACACACACAGGGGAAAAAACAAACACACACTTGAGAGAGAAAAGGATAAAGGGAAATGAAGAAATGAAAAGGAAATGAACAAAGGGGTGGAGAGACAAATTAAGAAGCTGGGACTCCAGATCCAGACTTAAACACCTTAACAACAAATACTTTTTTTTTTATAAGCAACCAATTATGTAGTGCACAATGGATGTAGGGGCAGACTTCTCACCCACCACTGCAGAGAACCACTGTGCATTAAGCAATAAATGGCAGTATCCACATGCAGGAAACCAGTAAGAGATCATCCCTTGTTGTTGCGCTAGTGGTTGGCTGGTTTGCCTTTGGCTGAATTGACATTTATGTGTTAATGGTTTAGGGCTTGCCTACATAGCACATGTAGCTGCTGTACAGTAGCTATGCAGTAGGCTATACACCATCTTAAATATTTAACTACATGCTAGTTCAGTGGCTGTTGTTGATAGTAAAAAACACATTATGGAAGAAAGACAACAGCTTTCTCCTTTTAGTAGCCCACACTAACTGAAAAACTCTTCTCACTGCAGTCCTTCCTGTCTGTCACAATGAACAAATTAACATAAACACACAACATAACATAAATCCATGGCAGTAGTCTCCTGCTCAAGGTAGTGGGAGCTCCCTGGATGTAAAACTTTGTCAGTGTTTTATGAGTACGGAAATGCAGTCATGCTTGTTACATACAATGTGTTCTGGTGAGGAACAATGAGTGTAAACACAATTTATTGTTTGTTTAGGAGAAGACTCCCCTTTGAGTTCATACTGCTTAGCTCATTTACTTTTATAAGGTACTGTAAATGATCTTGATGGGAGAATGACAGGTATTTTTATGAATGACTTATTATAGAGATCAAAACTAACCAATGCACAGCAGGACAACTAAACATGCTAATAATAATAATGATGATGATGATGTCATGAGGAAAGCAGAGTCAGAATATTAAAGTTTAGGTTCCAATAAAGGAAATAAACACATATCTACAGTATGTGTATTTAGTTCTGTTCAGGGAAATTAGAAACCTAGGAAATTACTCATACATTATGGGAAACTTTCCTTTAACAAACGCTTGGTAATGCTTCAGTAAACTGGAGTTCCAGGTGTTTACACAGAGCATTTAACATAAATTACACTCATCTGCCTTTAGGCTGGTAAGCATTCACAGCAATGTCATTTGCCCAGCAGCATATGGCATTTTTATGACCAAATCAATATGTAGTCTCTAAAAGCAGCAGAGCATAAGTCAGATCTCTGATGGTGTGCAAATAGAAAGAAGACTTATATGAATTTGAAGTGGTATTGCTGGTAATGAGCTTAAAGTTTGCTTTAATTTCCCACTCTAAAGAAAACATTCATATCCCAGTCATATATCTACATAATCTGCATTTACACACCATTATTTAATCATAAAAAGGCCAGATTAACACATCATCTGCACTTGTCTGTGATACAGGCTGTAGCAGTCTGTTGCTCAAACTGTCTGGAGGATGAAGCTGTCCCTGTAGTGGGACTGTTTACTCAAAGTGGAGTCACACACCTTTATACACACCACATGCTGAATAGGATGCTCCTGCAAAGACACACTTGCACACACATACAACACTTTGACTCACACACCACCCAGGGAGGGAAGCATGAGCCAAATTGCTCTCCTACGTTCATCTTTAATTGGGGGTAAAATCAGGTGGCTGTGAGTGAGTCTGGTTAAAAAGTACTTGCCCAGTGGATTTTAAATATAATTAATACTTCATCACAGAGCCTTGAAATGAGCCACGGTTCTCCAACTAAACAACCCTGGAGCCTTTCAGCACTTTACTTGTCTACTTTGAGGGGAGAAGAAGTGACAGAGAGACATGGATTGAAAATTGAAATATAGTTGGAAGAGATGTTTCAGAGAATAATGAAAGAAGGGAAACTGCTATTGCAGTACTGAGCTGAAATGATGGTTGGTTTGTCTTTATTTTGTTTTGTTTTGGCAACGTTTTTCCACAAGAAGATGGTTTGTCTTTATAATGTTAAGAAGGCGTGGGAGCGTTAATGGTAGCCACCCTCTTCTCCTTCACATCTCTCTGTCTCTGATTCTCTGGACTTTTCATCTCAGTCCGCTGTTTACATGGCAGTGTTGGCAGAGGAAGATGGAGGGGAGAAAATTATGCTCAGTGGGACATTTGGAGCAAGCAGTTTGAAATTGAAATGAGTATGACCCACTCACCACTCAGTTCCTTTAAAACAACCTTCAGACTTATTCTCTCTATCTCACACACACATACAGTACATCCTTGTTTTTGTCACTTAGCAGGTCTTTACATTGACTTACATTCATGCCCTGACACTTCCCTAACCTTAACCATAACCACTACTGTACTTGCAGAACCCTATCCTTAAACCAAGTACTAAGTCATCAAACTCTGTGATTTAGAAAGGCCCACAGTGTGAGTAGTACAGGGCACACAGAAACACAGTCTGCTGGATTTGTTTTAAATGAATATTGGGCTGTGATAAATGTGGGCTTAGCATCACAGTCAAGCCAATATAGAACCCTTTTCATCTCAAGATCTTAGGGTGGATGGAAACATCCTGTTGTATACACATAAGAAAAGTCTCTCTCTCACGTGCTCTATTTTTCTGTCTTTCTCATTTCTCCTCCATATATTCTTCCTAAATTCTTCCTACTTCTGTCTTTTCTTTTCTTTGCTGTCAAAGGACAGCTTTACCAGAACACTTCCTCATTAAAGCATGTTTTAGGCCCACAGCAACAGCTCACCTGACAACTAGCTTTTTCCATGTGTTTTGTGGTCATATTAAGGTAAAACACATGGCCACTGTAGTGGTCAATACTTTGAGAGGAGGTGGTCGGGAGTCTGGAAGATTTATTATGTTTGATTTTGTGTGTTTATTTTATGTGAAGGACCTTTACTTTAGATCATACTATCATAAAATGGTACCAGTACCAGTATACTGTATGGACCTTTCCTTTTCTCTGCCTTGAATTTCCAGGGAATAGAGCTGACCTATTGGTAAACTGGCACTACTGGCCTTTTGATCCAGCTTGTTACTGAACAAATACAATATTTTTTCTTCTGATCCCCATTAGTTTTAAAACAACTACATCATCAATGAAATGTTATTAGATGGAAAACACTAAATGCTAAGATAAATTTTGCTAGCAACAAGGCCTGTTGCAATATAAAAATCTTCTGAAATTAGTCATTTATCTGGCAGCTGTGAAAGGGCTAAGAAAGCTCAGAAAGTTTGACAGTCAGTGGTCAGTTGTCTGTGCACTAACAGTAATTAGAAACCTGGCAAACATCCAAATGAAACATCATGATAAACTGATAAAAAGGTTTACTGCCGCCATCTTAGCCTTATTAGTGGTTCATGCTAATATCATGCCCTGACATAATGTGTTAATCCAGTGGATGTCAATTAGACCCATTTAGCTAACAATGGCCAAGATTAATAATTTAATTCAGTTTTGCATTTGTTTAGTATGTTTTGAGAATTCTTTTGCAAAATACTATAATTAATAAATATAGAAATATGTTTCACAAAAAGATTTTTGACCAAGCCTCTGAAGCCAAAGTAATATTGACTATGTAAGCCTCTTACTTAATGTCCTTCCTTCCTATTGCAGGTCTTCCAAGGCCTCCTCTGCATTTTCTACAACCTTGGTGATGGGGATTACAACCTAACCCTGCCCACCTATCGCCTCGACAATGGTGAATGGCATGAGGTATTCCTAGATCGGCATGACAATGAGATGATACTACGACTGGATGGTGGCGGGGGGCAACGGGAGGTCACAGGATCACGTGGCCGAAGCCGAGAAATCATAATTGATCCCACTGCGGTGATGCTGGGAAACACCTTCCCTTCTGGAATTAACAAGAGCTTCCAGGGTAGGTGATAAAAGCTCAATGAAGCTCCACAAAAAATGTGTATTGGAGTTAAATTTAAAGGCTTTCCAACATAGTTTCTGTTATCAATATTTGACAAAAACTGGGACCACGCAAGAGCTTGATTTGCAAATGTTGTCTATGCTTTAAAGGATTGCTTTCAGAAAAAAACCTTCCGGACACCAAGGGTTCATAATAGTAAATTTAAAGGTTTTTGTTAATTGGAAATACAGTAAGCAGAATCTCCAGCTCAGTATTTCCCTGTGTGAATATAGTTTATTTTGGTTTGCCTTCATACTTGGGAACTAGGTTAACGGCAAATTTATTAAAAGTCTAAATCAGATTTTTTTTTATTATTATTTTTTAGCACAAAATGATGCCAATGCCTCAGCAATGACTTGGCCAGGTGCTTCTAACCAAACCTCAATCAGGATTTTCAGGGAGTCCACTCTACTTCACCAGATGTGATCAGCTGCCTGACAATTGCATTCTGCTTTCCCTTCTGGTTTTTATGTGTTGTCATTGCTATGAGTAAAAACTAAAATATGAGATCATTTGAACAACTCATACAGGGTGTGGATTATTGGGGGATTGGGAGGGTTCGATCCCTTCAATCATAAACTGAAATTGTCTCACGGTCCTGGCCCAAAGATTCATCTAATGCAATGTCATACCCCCTTAAAGTGAATTGCACCATTTCCACTGCATAATGTGAGCTGCCCCATGACAAGAGCACACAGACTCACTGATTTTACCTGCTGTCAGTAATGCCTGTAACATGATACATCACGACATGTGCAGGGTATTTTATTTATCATGGCTCATGAGCTGCTTTCTTGTGTTACATTAGTTTACATGGATTTGGTGTCAGCTTAGTGATTCTCAAAGACCAGCTGGAGCACACCTCCAGAACTCACCTCATTTCAGCAGTCTCTCTCTCATCAACACCCTCCCATAGCAACTTTCCATGCAATGACAAATGAATTAGAAAACACACAAATTCCTACATTTCTTAGCAAGTTGTGAATTGTGGTTCATGTAGGTAATTATAGATTATAGTACATTTACTTTTGTTTTAATTTTATTTGAACTTTGAACTGATTTATAAAAGCATTTAGTTTATGTTTACACTGAATAATTCTCTTCATTTTACAAGCACTAAAACAGTAGCTTTGTTCTTTTTTAATTAAATTTTACTGGAGAGCATTTCTGAGCTGGAATGCACTAATGGCTGAATATTTACATCTTTTATTTTTCGCACCCCTGTGTATTTGCTGCTTTTAGCTGTTCATTTCTTTCTCTCACAATAATATTCACACTTGGTAGAGCTGGCTCTTAAATTCGGGTAATTTTGAAGAGTAAAGAAAACTGAGTCTTCCAACGGTCATGCAAAAATAAATAAAGAAAGAAAGAGACACTTAAAAACAATGACAACAACAATATTAAGTGATCACACCTCCTACAAGCACAGTCAAAGAAAAGAAGGTGAAAAGCTTGAAAGGCCAGTTGTTACTGAGACTGCAAACAGTGGAAAGCTGGGGAGGCTGGTTTTTAATCTGGCAAATGAAGTCTTCAAAAGCCCATGTAGAGCCAGTTAAGACGATTGTACCCAAAAGGTCAAAACAAGTTTAGTTCCTTTTAGTGTGTAAATATCTCTGTTTCATACAACTGACCTAGACACTCTGGACCTTTTTCACTTTGTACAAATATACAATTAGCACAAGTACATTCAGTGGTGCTTCCATGTGGTCAGGAATAGATGTATGAACTCTTATATTGCAGTAATAAGGCTGGTCAGCAAAATGTTATCAGAAGTACTGGGGGGAAAAGTGGAAATGAGGCCAAGGTTATAAAATGTTGCTTTAAGATACAGTATCGTTCTGACCAGCTTTATGCCTCTGCTCCAATGACAGCTGTGGCTGAAGGCATTGTTTTCAGGAAGACCTTGAGGGAATTTCTTCAAATTTGGCCCAGGTATCCACTTGAACTGAAAGATGAACTGATTAGATTTTAGTGATGAAAAGTTAAAGGTCACTGTCACCTCGTGTTGGTCAAAGGTCAAGGTCAATGACCTCACTTGTTTTTTATAAATTTTTTTAGTTGAAATAAAACAGTAAAAAAAAACACTGAATCACGGATACAGTGCATTTAAAGAAGAAGGCAGGGAAATTTATCATGTGGTTGTATGTAAAAGTGTGTTGCATGGGTATGTTCACCTCTAGATGGAGTGTGGTAAGAAATAAAAAACAGAGGGAGGGAGAGTAAAAAAGAGAAAAATAAAATACACTGATCAGCCATAACATAATGACCACCTTCCTAATACTGTTTACATCAGTCAGTGTGGCAGTCGGTTGTCACTCGTGTCACTCTGCAGCTCACTGTGCATCTTCTGTGAATCCATTTGCTTCCACAGTTCTACTGTCAGGAAGAGAACAGATGTGTCTACAATTCAGTGAAAAACTTATGTAAAAGGAGTGAAAACTGTGGTCGTGAGGACAAGTTACAGAACATATTTATACAAATATACAATTTCACCAGCCTCTCCACTCTGTGATATTACCACTGAATGTTTCTTTTCATAGAGACCAATCTACTTATTTCTGTACCAATTTCTCATTTTCAACCATTTTAACAACGACACAAATGAACTTTAATCTTTTGAAAAGTACAAATGGAAGTTCAAAGTTTAATCTACAGTAGGTCAACCTCATCATCAGTGAGCCCTGGGCGTCCTTGACCCTGTCTCCAGTTCACCATTTGTCCTTCCTTAGACACTGTTGGTAGGTACTAACCACTGCAGACCAAGAACACCCACCAAGACCTGCAGTATGGGAGATGCTCTGACCCAGTCATCTCACCATCACAGTCTTGCCCTTGTCAAAGTCACTCAGATTCTTACACTTGCCCATTTTTCCTCCTTCCAACATCAACTTTGAGGACTGAATGTTCACTTGCTGCCTATTATACCCCACACACTGACAGGTGCCAGATGTAGATGGATAAAGTAAAATAAGAATACATAAATAAAAAAGAAAGAGATGAAAAGAAAAAGAAATCAATCAACCCTGAACCACCAGCACTGGAGCAAGATGAGAAAAGACTGAATTATTTTAATGGAAAGTAGCAGTACACCTGAGAACAAAACATTACAACAATCCACTGAATGACACAAAGCTGTAGGATACATTAGGGTCTCTGGCATCTGCCATACTCAACTCAACTCAACTTTATTTATATAACGCTTTACCACAGCGCAGCTGACCAAAGCACTTAACATATCGAACATATATAAAAAATACAACACATAAAAAGCTATAAACAGTAATATAGACACTAACACTACAGACAGAGTCTCATTCCTGGTCAAACGCCAATGAATACAAGTATGTCTTCAAATAAAACTTAAAAGTGGACAGTGAGGGGGCCTGCCTAATATAAAGCGGCAACACATTCCATAGGTTTGGACCTATCACAGCAAAGGCTCTATCCCCCCTCGTTTTCCGCCTGGCCCTCGGTGCCTCCAGAAGAAGCTGATCTGCTGATGTGAGGCACCGCGACGGGTTATACGGACGTAAAAGTTCCACCAGATAAGATGGTGCCAGCCCATTTAAGGATTTATAAACAAATAAAAGAATCTTAAAACGAACCCGATAGAACGATAGAAAAGAGAGGATTCTAGTTATGTAGGTTTCAAAAATGACAAAAGGCAGTCTTAGTGATCATAGGATCATAGGACACTTTAGCCCCTTTACACAGAGATCACAGAAAACTGCTGTCATTTTGACCCTCCTTCAAGGTGGCTTTTTTGATTTAAGCCCTTTTACACTGAACTACTGTTCCTGTGTTCATTTTACACAGCTGCCAGAATCTTGGTGTTACACTAAAATCTGTGAACTGTCAGATTTTACGACCACACTGTTGCACATTTTTATCATTTGTTGTGTCGACAGTGAGCCAGAAGAGGAGTGAGTATAGCCCTTCAGAAATGGTGACCTCAGTAGTATTGGCTCTGTGATGATCACAAATGAGAACATGTGTGATGTTTTAATCAGTTATTGTACTGGTACAGATAGAGTAAGGTCATATATTCTGCCGGGAAATAGTGACCTGTGTTTTGCTGGTTCTGTGTTGGGCCCATATTTGAATACCTTTGCCTAATTGAAGGAGAGAGGCTGGTGCAGCAGCACAAAAGATTTTGTTGGTGATTGACACAATTGTTTTGCAGGTACACTAGAACATTTCCTAATGACTACACATACCCAGTAAGCTGTTTCTTCAAATAGCCTTTAACGTTTGCTTACAGTAAGTAACAAATTTAATTTTCTTTACACTGACATATATCATGCCTGGAGTGATTAACATTGATCAACCAAAGTTAATGGACTATTTCTTGACAGAAAGCAATAATATCTACTTCTACTCTATAAATTATTGGTTCACATGGGCAAACAGAGGCAGTCCAGTCACACCAGTAGAAGTGAAAGCAATAGAGCTACAAGGACTAGTTTACCCTGTTTACATACATACTTTTCTTATGGCTCACTGTCGACAGAACAAATGATAAAAATCTGACAGGTCACAGTGTAAAACCCGTACTAGAGGCGTGATGCTAATCATGACGTCCGGCGGTCTATGTACTTCCAGACCAATTATAAAAAGAAACAAACAGACTGTTAACTGATTGTGTTTGATATAAAGTATCTATAAATGGAAATCTGGGATTACAGTGGCCTAAGTATATGCATCCAATTTCATATCTGTGTGTTTGTTTGAGGGCAGGGCCACAAACTCAAAGTGCACCTCACCTCAAAACTTACATAAATAAGTGTTTTGGCTGCATTCAGACAATGCCCCTCCCACAGGGCTGTGCAGAGGTGTGGCTGTGTTTGCTTCTGCTTTAGGACATAACCATATTGAAACAATCAGAAAATGACATTTTAATCCTCTGATTCACTTTGTTCTCGCTGATGCTTCCCTTTCTACTCATTCTTTCTCTCTCTCTG